GGATTTCTGTGTAGATTACAAACAATGGTAATGATAATGTATCTAAAACTTCCACCTCTCTTGTAAACTTGAAATCCATGTAAGCTTTAGGGGGTCATGACTTGGATCCATCTGTCACAGGTCAAACAGACTCAGTCAGTAACTTAGGCTTCTCACCTGCCTACTCATGAAGGTCCTCGCTCTCTCTCTCATCTTGGGACTGACTGAGTGTGAGAAGTTTTGTAAAGAAACCAAAATAGCCACTCCACGGATGAAAAGGGGAGAAAAATATTCCAAACTGCCAAGTGTCTCTCTCAGGAAAGCAGAGAGACATGAAGGGGGAAATCTTCAGGGCTATAAGGGAATGGATACCTGAGGGAAAGGGAGCCAGTGGGCTGGGCAGCTTTGAAATGTATAACAAGTATTGTGAGTGGGAACTGAGGCAGTCTGGAGGCTAGCATGGACCTTGATATGGTGATAGGTACTACAGGCATATGTTAAGGAGAATAGCTCCTTTTAGCAAATGGGAACAAGCTTCTCCAGTCCCTGAGGGAGTGCTGGAGAATTTCCTGGGACATGACATTCTAGTCCTTTGACTAGAGGTGCAATCTCTTCTATAACTGCTCAGATGAAATTAGGGCTTCATGTGTTAGGAACCAGGAAGACTGAAATGCCAATCAAAAGGCCAGGAAGGGAGGAAATCAGGCAATAGCCCAGAACATCTGGGATTTTCACTCACTGTCCAGGTTCTGTGGGGCTTCCTAGGGTAGTGAAGTACAGCCCACTTTGGAGCAGTTAGGGGCTCAGACTGGTAGGCAATGGTAGGCCTGGGGAAATTCTGCCAGAAGCATCTGGTTTACTGACCACAGGGCAATTTCATTAATTCTTTTCTGAAAAAAAAAAAAAAACTGAAGAGATAGTGTGATCATTATGATTAGGAGTATGAAAATCAGTAGGCCAAAGACATGTAAGAGCCAGGGGCCCAAAATGAGAATTCTGCAAAGAAATTAACCCCTGGAAGCCAAAGCATCCCCCAACCCCACCTCTTATGAAATCTTTAATCCTTTTTTCCACCTGGCTGGGCTGGTTTACATAGTAACAGCTTTCTTCCAGGAAGAGGTAAGTGCCTCCATTTCAGCAGTTACTAAGCAGAAGGCCTTTGGTTTGGAGTAATTGCAGGGATGAGGTTGATTCCTGGATGCTATCTGCTAGCTGGGTGGATACCTGTTGAGATAAGATATAGGCTGTGACCCAAGCTGCCTATCGTCAGACTAATTCTTACCAGAACAGGGAGGACTATGGCCTCGTTGATCCCTGTGTGAGACTTGGAGGAGAGTATAGAATTCTCCTTCCATGTATAGGGTGAGTTGGGGGAAATAACAGAGTGGGGAAACAGGGACCGTGAGTGGATTTGTTTATACATTAGTAAAACTTAAATGGACACAAGAAGAGGGTTCCTTCTGGGGCTAGTGAGGTTTCTGAAATTGGTTAAGTTAGCACGTGCTGATGAGGGTCAGCACTGACAGTGGTTATTGCATAGCAGTCCACCTGCTGTCTCCAGAGGTGATGAGGGCCAGGAAACGATTTTGGGGTTACATGGGTGAGAGGAATAGCTGCTGCAGGAGAGCACGGAGGAGACTCAGGGGTTAATTTAGAATAGTCTTCCAAAGGCTGAGTTCGGAGATATCTCACACAGCTGGGACTAGAGGATAATCTCAGACCACTGAATAGTCTCTACCACTAGAAAGGTGTCAGGTGCTTCCTTGAGAGATCTAAAAATTATCACTGGCTCTCTGTGAGACAGGCTAGAGGATGCCTTCCTATAGGTGTAGATCTGCTCCCACGGCCCCTTGGATGCTTTTTTTTTTTTTCATTCCAGGAGTTCTGGAGAAGGTGGCCATACCTAGTATGGGCCCATGGCAGAGTTGTGGAGGCTGTATGCCTCATCCTTGTTCAGAGTAATGAACATAGGTGTCCAGACCAGGTTTGGTCTTGGAGAAAAAAACGGTACTTGGGATTGTCACATAAATTGAAGTTGGCCTGTTGCTTTCTGCAGATGCAGAAAAAGTCTGCTTGGGGATCAAAAGTTAGAGAAGCTCTGAGCTGCAGCCAGAGGCGGGACAGAAGGAATAATCTTAATTTGGATGGATGTATCTGGAACTTCCAGGCTTGTCTAGGTCCTGCTGTGTGGGAGGTCAAGAGAACAAAGAGAGCGCCCAGCAGGAGTGTGAGAAAAGAAGCCATTCTCAGGGATGGGTAGTAGGCAGGAGAGCTTAAGCTTTAGAGGGCCCATAGATGGGTGGTTGTACTTAACAAATAAGCAGTCACCCCTTTGAACTGTGACAGGTGGATCCAAGTTGCAACTCCTTGAGGTTTAGCTGCCGTTAGTGTGTTAAGGATGACCAGATGTGGATCCATCCTGCATGGGTTGAAGGTCCTTGGGTGAGAGGGTTTCAACTAAAACCAGTCTCCTGGCAATATGGTTTGGGTGATCGGCTCAGACATGTTCCCAGAGAAAGTGTCTCAAGAGAGGGTAGTCACCAAGATTTCCTGGAAGAAAGGGACTGCCGGACATTAACTCACAGTCTGAGGAAAGAGGGGGCTCAGGGTGGGGCACGGGAGGGGAGGAGGGCACGAGGTAGAAGTGGAGTCCGAGGAAGGTAAAGTTCAGAAGACCGTATTGATAAAGAAGTCTTAATAAGTCCATCGGTCCTTTCTACCTCTCCCAAGGACTGGAATCAAAAGAGAATGTGGAGGTGCCACTGCACCCCTAAGGCCCTCAAGACTGACTGACTTTAGAAATGAATGCTAAGCCATTATCTGACTGAATGGAAGACGAAATCTGGGTAAGATATCATTTATGAGATACCTTTTCTGGAGTCTCAGCTATAGTATGGAAAGCTTCTATCCTCCTGAGAAACTGTCTACCAGAATAAGGTATTTGTGTGTTTTGCATGTGTGTGAAATCTGCCAGTCCTCCCAAGATCACCTGTGGTTGGGTTGAAAGGAGGAGGGGGTTGCAGGGACCCCTGTTGGGAGGTTTGCATCACCTGGGGGTGATAGCCTTATGGGCAGAATGTCTGGGGAAGAGGAAGGGTTGGAGCAAACAGAGGTTGAGACCCAGTGTGAAAAAGATTTGTTAATGCCTGTCAGGAAAGACTTTGTTTGATGTTTAGGGAGATATGGTCCCTGTCCTGTAGGAGAATCCAGCCCTGAGGATCCATGACCACTCTCATAACTTGGAGGGCCTGTCGTTGGGACTCTCAACGACAAGGTAAGGATTAAGCTTGGGGGAGTAGGAATGTTGGATGGCCTCTTCAGCAGTCTTGTCAGCAAAGCATTTCACAAAGCTGTATCATTAGTAGGGGCCTACTGCCCCCAACAGTGAAGGACTGCTGTCTGCTTGGGAAGATAAGAGGCTTCTAGCAGTGTTAGAATTAGAGGCCCATTGGTAATAGATGTGCCTCTGGGGGTGAGAAATCCTTACTCCTGCCAAATGGAAGCATAGTAATGTAGAATACAGAGATCATACTTAGAATCTCTGCGTGTATTGATGGTTTTGTCTCGTGTTAAGTTGAGGTCTCCAATGAGGGCTAGGAGCTCTGCCTTCTGAGAAGTAGTGCCCAGGGTGAAGAAGAAGATTCTACACCCAGGTCGGAGGAGCCTATGGCATAGCCTGCTTGACAGGAAACAGGGGAGCTGAGAGATGAGCTTCCATCTGTAAACCAAGTATAGTCAGGATGTGACAGAAGGTAAGAGGAAGTTGTGAATTTCTGTAAGCAAGGGTATCAAGAGGCTCTAGGCGGGAATGGGTGAGGGTAGTGACACTGGGGGGAAAGCGGCAGTGTGCAATGGAGAGCAGGAACCGAATGAGATGTCAGGGTTCTCTAGGAGGGTGATGTGAAAAGTCCGAAGCTTAGAAAAGCGCAGAGTGGAGAGACTCCTGTGTGACAGGAGATCCTTGAGCTGGTGTGGTGAGAGATAGAGTAGAGAGGCCGCTGCTAGTGCCCATAAGCAAGGCTGCCATCCCCTAACTGTTGTATCTGGCTGTTTGGAAAGGTAGGCAACAGGGCCAACATGAGTCCTCCCATTTGTCCCAAAACTTCTAGGCCATTCCCCAGTTTTCAGTAGTACACAGAATAAAGGGTTGGTCAAAGTCAGAGAGAGCCACAGCATGTAGGAGTTTGCATCTCAGAGACATGTCAGGCTTAGTGGGATCCAGAGGCTTGGTTAGGGTGTCGCTAGCTGCTTCATATGTGGGGAGAGCAAGAAGAACAAAGATAGAAATCCAGGTTCTAAGGTACCCTGCCAGGTCAAGGAACCTCTCAAATCTCTTCCCTGGTGGTTGGAGGTATGAGGTTTGCAGATACCATCTGTGATCAAGAGGAAGTTCACGGCTGTTAGGGGATGCTTGACTTGAGAGACAAAGTTCAGCTTTAGAAGGGGAAATTCTGTATCCTCTTTTTCCTAGAAAGTCAAAAAGATGAGTAATGTTGTGACGAGTGAGGGGCTGCGTAGTAGAAGGTCATGAACATATTGGATTAAGTGGTTTAGGGACAGATCTAGGGAGAAGAGGTTAGTGGCTACAGCCTGGTTGAAAAAATGTGGGCTGGCTCAGAACCCCTGGGAGAGGACTGTCCAAGTAAGCTGTGATGCTGTACTGGTGTCAAGCTTCTCCCAGGTAAAAGCAAAGACATCATGTGAATCTGAGGGAAAAGGGAAAGTTCAAGAAAGCGTTCTTAAGGTCTAGGATGGTAAAATGAGAGGTAGAGAAGGGAATCGGAGAGTAGAGTATAACGGTTAAGGACTACTGTGGGTATAGGAATTGCAGCTGCTGCGTTAATAATCCTGAGGTCCTGGACTAGGTGGTAAGAACCATCAGGCTTTAGTACAGGCAGGATGGGATGCTATAGGGTGAATGAGTGCTCTTGAGAATACCTTTATCAACAAAGCACTGTACGATAGGCTTTAAGTCCTGTCTATGTTTTAGAGGAATATGGTAGGAGGTAGAGTCCCCGAGCAGGATCTTAATAGGAGGAGGATGAGAGGCCACCAAGGGAGAGGAACTGTCCCATACTTTTGGGTCAACGTGAGAGTCTGATGGGGGGAGGGTGAAGCATTAATATTAGTCATTGAATAAGGGGGCTCTTCAGAGGAGGAAATTCCAGAGAGAGTTGGTTGAAAGGTTTAACTTAACCATGATATCTCTGCCCAATGATGTGGTGAGAAAAGAGTAAGCTGTCATGTGGCCCTAGAGAGGAAAGAGGAGAGAACCTGTAACCAGGAAGTATAGACCAAATAGCTCCTGAATCAATTAAGAAAGACACGGACTTACCCACTACCTGGACAATTATCCTAGGCTCCTTCTTGGAAATCTTGATGGTTTTGTGGAAGGTGGGGGTCCGAGGGCAGTGTTAGTCTTCAGCCACCAGGTCCAGAAGATGCAAGGGACTTTTCCATGGAGGAGGAACTTGGGGGGCTGACCTACCTTAGTGAGGCAAAGAGATGCAGTCAACTCTCCAGTGTCCACAGTTTGGGCATGGTCCTGGAGGCTGGTGAAATAAAGGACAGCTTTTCACCCAGGGCCAGCTTTGCTACTTTAAAGCAAGCTCCATGTGGAGTTCATTTGCGTCCCCATCTTCTTTGGAGGAGACCTTAGGGCTTCCTCCTCTATCCTTTCCTGCTCCCCCACTTACATTAAACACCTTAAATGTCATATTCCACAGATCTCTCTGGAGGGTTGAAGGCTGTCATCCAGCCTTTTAATTTTTTTTTTTTTTTTTTTTTTTTTTTTTTTTTTTTTCGTATCAGGATTTATCTGGATGATTTTGTGAGTTTAGCATGCCATCTTGAGAATTAGGATCTAGCTTTGTGTACTATAGGGGAGCCTCTGTAAGTAGGGTGAGGATTTTCATCCAGCCTCTAAGTGACCT